GTTTACGATCCAGGATTCTATTTGATCATCAATCCAATTCGCCTTCACGTTTTCTCTTTTTCTTATCAATGAATAGAGCTCTTTACTTGTAGGACTGATAGAACTGATATATTGCATATTTCTATTTATAGAAACAGCAATTCCAGTTATCTGTTCAAGGATATTGAAAGATTTCTTCGTCAAACGTCTTGGTTTCACTTTCAAAGTAAGATGAATCTTGTTGAGACCGAAAACAAAACCTTGGATTCCTTCTAACAAACGTACGAATTGGTTAAAGCCAAATATAAATATATTATTTAACCAAAACCCATTTGATTCACACATAGGATATTTATCTACAAGTTTTTGAAACTCAATTAGATATGAGGGAATTAGAAAAGGTTTTAATCTTTTAAACTTGATATCTAACTCCCTCAAAGATCGAGAAACAAAGACAAGATTTATAATAACAAGATAACCAACACCAATAAGAAGGAAAAGCGTTGAAACGAAAAAAGCCCAACCACTTGGTGATCTAAAATGTGTTGATGTTTTAGTATTTCGTTGCAACCTTTCATTAGCTAGAAGACGGTTATGTAACCACTTACTTGAGATTTCACTTGTTATAAAAAAGGGCAACAATTTCATCTTAAAAATTTGCCATAATAAATACAAAATCTCCCAATAAATAGATATCCTACTATTTAATATTGAAACTATATCTATCAATAGAGAATAGAGATATTTGTACCCTGTCAAAGTAAAGAAGTTTGGCAAATTCATTTGGAAAAGATTTAATTTTTCTGATAAAATGGAAAAAAAATTCTCTCTATGAAAAGTTGTTGCCATCCGTCTTTTCTGAAACACAGCGCCTTTTTTTCGATTTTTTTTGTTTTGAAATGAAAAATATTTATAAGAACAGGGAATGTCAACCAAATCCATATCCATATTTAAATTAAAATTAGGATATTCTTGAAAGTGATTTTCTTCTGAATCATATAGATTTCTATTTAGATCTGAAAACGGTTGACAATAAGTTGTTTCCAAATTGACTATTTCTTCCTCTGTAGAAGATGTTCCAAAAGTATTTAGAATCAAATTAGGCATGACTGGATCGGATTCCCTTACAGAATTAAAAAAATTCTCAAAGTTATACCGTGGGTCACCATTTTTGGCAAAATCCTTAAATAAGGAATCAATTAGTGAAATAGTAGCTCTATCCCCAAAAACCTGTCTTTTTTTCCCACCACCTAAAGAAACTTTTTGATTCCCAAGGAACAAGCTATTTAGAAATTGCTCATAGAGAAAATACGAATTAGTATTCCGAGTCCTTTCCACAGAAAATGGAAATCTTCTCTTACAATCTAACCAAAAGTTAGAGTTAGGGCGAATATTAAAGAAGCGAAGTCTATTTGCTTTATAAAAAGCGGATATAAGTGAACTTCTTTCAAATAGGTTCATGGGATGAAACCCATTAGCCTTTTCATCAAAATATTTTGGTCTAGTAAGCAATGCATCAATCCTCTCTTTTGCTATATTATGAAACAAAAAGGGTGATCTTTTTGTTTCATTGATAACAAAGTTCGACGTACCAGACTCTTCCAACAAAAAGGGGTTTAATTTTTTTAAATAAATCATTTTAAACCCTATTGATTCCAACAACTGATTACAAAGTTGACCGTTCGGTCCTTGTAATTGATAGATATAGATTTCGGACCTCTGAACAGGACTAGTACCAAAACTTACACAGGAAAAACCAAGTGAATTAGACAAAAAGAAAAGCAACTTGATCATACAGTGAAATCCCTTCGTAAAAAAAAAACGAAGTGACTGGGGAAAAAAGAAGAAACGTACTGATTTGGACAACTTGGTAAAAACTAAAGGAACTAACTTATACACATTTTTTTTTACTTTGATTTCTACTTCCCTGCGAACCTTAGACCAATAAATCCATTTCTCAGTTATTTTATCAATAACATAAATACATAATTTATAAACTTTCTCAAACATCATTTGCAAATGGCCCTTTCGGACTTGAACATACATTTCAAAAAGTCTTTTCTGCTCATAAAGAAAATGTTTTGAATTTTCTTGTAAACTCTTTGCCCCATTTGACCATTTGGATCTATATGGATGACCCTGTTTTATTTTATATGTCATATGAGTTAGATGATTGAGAAGACCCGTTTCTTTTTGATCCCCTTGAATTCTCCTAATTCGATATTTGAAATTGTGATTGGATATATTTATGAAAACAAATTTATTTAATAGATTTCTTATGTACACATAGGTACTAGATTGCATTTGAATCATATTGTGAATGAATCTATATCTATATAGATTCACTGCTTCAATCCATACGCAGTTTTGGCCCGTTCGCTGAAAAAAAGAGTTATTCTCCTTATAACGAAAAAAAATAGGCGAAAGAGCCAACAAAGATTGATTTTTTGATTCAGTCCTAGTATTGAATATTTTATTCAATAATTTGATTTTATGCAATTCATATGAATCTATATTAACAAAAAAAGTAAATCCCTGATTATAGACTGGATCCGGCTCGCTTATTGTCAGAATAAATAAACCTGGACTTTTTTGTAATTTTTTTTCTGATTTCCAATTATGTTGTAGCACATAGCTTCCTTGTTTACTTTCAAGGAATCGGTTAACAAAAGAAAATAATGGAGTTTTTTTAAGAAATCCAGTATTCTTCGAATTTTCTATTTCGGGATCCAAAGAAATAGACTTAATTAAAACAGTCCTTTTTAAATACGTAAGTATTCTAAATAGATTAACTATTTCTTTCTTTTCCGCTTGCCGGACAAAAGAAAGAGATTTATTCCTAAATTTCGGATCCATATTGGACTTAGCAATAGGAGTTGATCCCATATAAAGTTCTGACCATCTATCAGAGTAAAATGAATAAAGGGACCTCGGGGCATTGCCCCGAGATTGTTCCCTTTCTTTCGGAAACGGAAGGCTTAGCGTGGGTTTACGGCCTTTGATCTCTTTTTGTTCGGTTTTAAGAAAGTAAGGATCCCAAGAAGTTGATCTTTGTTTTCGTTGTTTAAATTTTCTTTTATTCATTAATTTGGAATATTCGGAATCCTCATTTCTAATGGAATCCAAAAAATTTCTATCCAAGGATCCTTTCGGTTGGCCGGAATCTTTTACTTGTAAGGAACTAGATCTTGTGGAATCATAAGGAAACTCCAGCGATTTTTTATCTTTTAATAATACCAGATTTAAACCAAGAAGTTTCATTGGAATTTCTCTAAATTCCGTTCTAGTTCGTCTAATAATTTCTCTAATAAAGTTTTTCCCCTGCGTCGAATCTGACTTTGATTGAGGCATGTTAGGTTTTTTTTTTATTGGCAAAACCCGAGTATTATAGTTCGTATTCAGTAAATCAATATCAATTTGATTTTTGCCTTTTGGAAAAGAAAGGAGTAAAATACTCAATCGATTTAGAGTAGAATAACCACTATCTTGATCAGTTATGGATTCACTGCAATTCATCGGTATAGGAAAAAGTCTTTTTAAATAGAGATTTTTTCTTTCAACCATATTTTGATTGCTAATACGATAAATAAAGATAACAACGCCAACGAAAACTAGTAAAACTCCCTTAATCTTGACCGATCGATTGCTTTTTGAACCCTGCAAATTAGGTGAAAGTACAAGACTCCAAATTTGTGGGTCAAACAGTTTTAAAAACCGTTCTTGGGAGACTAAAATATGAATGGAAGATCCGATTGAATTCAATTGGGTCCATGAATCTAAAAAATATTTTGATTTTTTAATCTCTCTCAGTATCTCTCGTAATTCTAGAATCCAGAACTTGTTTTGCTTAGGTTCCATCTCATACCTCCATAAGATTTTATGCAAAAATTTTAAGTACTTGTTTTATATAATTGACTATTGACTATTTAATGTAAAAATAGAAATGATAAATAGAGTCTTTGTTTAGTATTTCAGATTTCCGAAATTCTTTATTTAAACGACATTTTTTTATGTAATATTTTTTGCTGTAATTCGATATTGAATATTAGATTCTCTATTCCTATCATATCCTATCATATAAAATAAAATATCATTTTTTTTTATTTGCAATTCCAAGATTCATAATTACCATAATTATTATATTTTAATTTTCAATTTTTATAGATGATGGTCTCGTTTAAGCATCCATAGCTAAGTGGTTAAAGCGCCCAACTCATAATTGGCGAAGTCGTAGGTTCAATTCCTACTGGATGCACACTATTAGCACTATTAGTTATTTACACAAAATCTCATTGACCCTCCAATTCTTCTTTTTATGATATTTTTGTTATATTTTAGGATATATATTAGCATAGATCTACTTTGAGCATTTCCTTCATAATCCATATTAAATATCATATAAGATATATGCTCCTAGATAGATTTGTCCATATCAAATATCATAGAAGATATATGTTCCTAGATAGATTTCATGTTGACTATTTCCATTTCATATATCATAATAGATAATTCTAGGATACCGATACATATAGAGAATCTATCTCTATATTAGAGATATAGATAGATTCTATCAACACTCAAAATTAACATTTTTATTTCAACTTAAAATAATACGGAATGAATTAAAATTCGGGATGGAATAAAAGATATAATATTAAAAAAAAGAATTTAGTTATTAAAAAATAATAAATAGACTTTTTTTGAAATCCACGTCATAAACTTTGAGTAGTGCTACGCTTCTGGCAAAGGGTCACATAATGGTAGGCCCTCCCTATTAGAGGACATATAATGCAATGGCTACCGCAGATCATTAGACATTGGCTTACACCTCCAAACAAATAAACTTTAAATCCAAAATAAAAATCATTTATATCATGGGAATACAATTATACAAAACTTATAACCCGAGCGAAACCGTAAACAGCCCAAAATTTGCTCGAAGAAAAAATTTGCTCTCTGGAAAGCATCATTGTGGTAAAGGTCGTAATGCTAGAGGAATCATTACAGCAAGGCATAGGGGGGGGGGGTCATAAGCGCCTATACCGTAAAATAGACTTTCGACGGAATGAAAAAGACCTATATGGTAGAATCATAACCATAGAATATGACCCTAATAGAAATGCAAACATTTGTCTAATACATTATAAGACTGGTGAGAAGAAGTATATTTTACATCCGAGAGGGGCTCAAATTGGAGATACCATTGTTTCTGGTACAAATGTTTCAATCAAAATTGGAAATGCCCTACCTTTGACCGAAATCCCCTTAGGCACGACTATACATAACCTAGAAATTACACGTGGAAGGGTGTGGACAATTAGCTCGAGCAGCGGGTGCAATGGCGAAACTGATTGCAAAAGAGGGTAAATCAGCTACATTAAAATTACCTTCTGGCGAGGTCCGTTTTATATCCCAAAACTGCTCCGCAACAATAGGACAAGTCGGGAATGTTGGGTTCAACCAAAAAAATTTGGGTAGAGCTGGAGCTAAACGATGGCTAGGTAAGCGTCCTGTAGTCAGAGGAGTAGTTATGAACCCCGTAGACCATCCACACGGGGGCGGTGAGGGTAGAGCTCCTATTGGGAGAAAAAAACCTACAACCCCTTGGGGTTATCCCGCACTTGGAAGAAAAACTAGAAAGAGGAATAAATATAGTGAGAAGCTCATTCTTCGTCACCGCAGTTAATATAATAGTATAATATAGTTAATAGAGTGAATATACTTAATGTAATATATATAGTATAAAAATTAATATAATAGAACAAATTAAATTTATTCATTCAATTATATGAAAAATAAAAAAATAAAAGAATAATAAAATTTATAGGAGTAAACTGTGGCACGTTCACTAAAAAAAAATCCCTTTGTAGCTCATAAATTATTAAAAAAAATTGAGAAACTTAACACAAAGGGAGAAAAAGAAATAATAATAACTTGGTCCCGGGGATCTACTATTATTCCAATAATGATTGGTCATACTATTGCCATTCATAATGGGAAAGAGCATCTCCCTATTTATATAATGGATGATATGGTCGGACACAAATTGGGAGAATTTGCAACTACTTTAAATTTTCGAGGACATGCAAAAAATGATAAGAAATCTCATCGGTAATGTGAATACTAAAAAATATTTTGATGCTTATAAGTCATTAGTAGGAGGCAAATTTTATGTACCAGATGCTAAATAAAAAAACCCCAGAAGTATACGTTTTAGGTCGACGTATAGCTATGTCGGCTAATAAAGCACGAAGAGTTATTGACCAAATTCGTGGGCGTTCCTATGAGGAAACACTTATTATATTAGAACTCATGCCCTATCGTGCCAGTTATCAAATTTTAAAATTGGTTTATTCAGCCGCATCAAATGCTAGTTACACTATGGCTTCAAATAAAGCAAATTTAGTTATTAGTCAAGCTGAAGTTAATGAGGGGACTGCTGGAAAGAAATTAAAACCTCGGGCTCGCGGGCGTAGTTATCCAATAAAAAGACCGACCTGCCATATCACTATTGTACTAAAAGATATTTCATTCAATGATTCTGAATCCGTGGAGCTCGGTTTGCTAAAAAAACCACAAGCGAAAAAAAATTCTAGAACTAAAGCATATTCTGATATCCAGAAAAGGAGGTATTTATGGGACAAAAAATAAATCCACTTGGTTTCAGACTTGGTACAAACCAGGCCCATTATTCACTTTGGTTTTCGCAACCAAAAACGTATGCTGAAAATCTGCAAGAAGATCAAAAGATAAGAGCTTTTATAAAAAATTATGTACAAAAAAATAGAATCAAACCCTCGGGTACCGAGGGAATTGCAGGTATATGTATTAAAAAAAGACTCGATCTAATCCAAGTCATAATCTATATTGGATTTCCCAAAGTATTCATTGAAAATAGCCCGCAGGGAGTTGAAGAATTACAAAAAGCTCTACAAAAAAAATTAAATTTCGTAAACCGAAAACTTAATATTGCTATCACAAAAATTGAAAAACCGTATGGAAATCCTAATATTCTTGCCGAATTTATAGCTGGACAATTAAAGAATAGAGTTTCCTTTCGAAAAGCAATGAAAAAAGCTATTGAATTAGCTGAACAAGCAGATACAAAAGGAATTCAAGTACAAATTGCGGGACGCCTTGACGGAAAGGAAATTGCACGTGTGGAATGGATAAGAGAAGGAAGAATTCCCCGCCAAACTATTCAAGCTAAAATTGATTATTGTTGTTATTCAGTTCGAACTATCTACGGGGTTTTAGGCATAAAAATTTGGATATTTTTTGATCAAGCTCAATAAAATTTTATTCATTCTTTTTACCTGTAATACCGAGCGGCCATTTCACAAATTATTTTGTGTAATGAGCAGGAACAGTTCTAATTGATAATAATGAATTCTATAAGGTTGAATAAAAATTTTATTTATTTTTAATAAAAATATCATTGCTATGCTTAGTGTGCGACTCGTTTATTTTTTAAGGTTAGCATGAAACCAAACCCAAAGTAACAACTACTAACTCGAGAAGAAATTACCTAATAATTAACTCATCAATTTCGCATTATCTGGATCTAAATAACCAGTCACGATATGATTACCGCTCATATCGTTGTAGCAACTGCCATTTATTTGCATAAACGAAAAATAGTATTCAAATATTATTGAAGTTGCGAAGCAAAATATAAAAAAGATGTGGATAATTGGAAGGGAGAGAGAAAGGGAGAAAAAGAAGCTCAATGATTGAAAATTCCAATATGTAGGGTCTAACAAAACAGGCAATGTAATGAAGCATTAATACTTAAATTCTGCATATTAAAGTATTTAAAATAGAATAAGAAATCTAAGAATATTCAATAATAAAAAACAATATACTCTTATTATAGAAATCTATAATCTATATATAAATATTCAATTAGATATTAAATATAGAAGAGATAAAATAAAAAAATAAAGTCAAGAGCTTAAAGCCAATAAAGACTAAGAAAAATGGCTAAAGACTTAAATTATTCATATATTATTACTATTTGAGCTCCATTGTAAAATTAGGACCTAACCATTAAGTAAGAAGTGATGGGGACGACGGAACTTATGAGAATACAAAAGATTCAATTCAATTCAAGATGAAATAAAAAAAAATCTTAAACATTCACTGGCTGGGATGGCGGAATAAACCAATGTTAAATTATTTTATTTCTAGATACTAGCTATAAGATGTCACAAACTCGTCCTAGAAATGAAATCTAAATTGACAGAGTCAATATTCGCCCGCGAAAACTTTTTTCAAAAGAATCAATATTCAATCTAAAGCAATATAAAGAATAGTCAAAAATGAAGGATTAGTTAGACTCAGAGAATCATGAAAAAACTGTAGAATAATTCATTTCAATTCAAATAGATTTAAAAAAAGATCACTCAATCCCTAAATATTATTTTGACTTCTCAGTCCAGACTTTTATTATCTATCTTTAGATTTAGATATCTTCACTATGATTAGTCAATTTGAGTCAAACGCTCATTTTGTAAATACTTTATTCGTAATTCGCGAGGAGCTGGATGAGAAGAAACTCTCACATCCGGTTCTGTAGTAGAGATGGAATAAATAAAAATCCATCAACTATAACCCCAAAAGAACCAGATTCCGTAAACAACATAGAGGAAGAATGAAGGGAATAGCTTCTCGAGGGAATCATATTTGTTTCGGTAAATATGCGCTTCAAGCACTTGAACCCGCTTGGATCACATCTAGACAAATAGAAGCTGGGCGACGGGCTATGACACGAAATGCACGTCGTGGAGGAAAAATATGGGTACGTATATTTCCCGATAAACCAGTTACTGTACGACCCGCAGAAACACGTATGGGTTCAGGAAAAGGATCCCCTGAATATTGGGTTGCTGTTGTTAAACCCGGTCGGATACTTTTTGAAATGGGTGGAGTAACAAAAAATATTGCCAGAAAAGCTATTTCAATAGCAGCATCAAAAATGCCGATACAAACTCAATTCATTATTTCGGAGATAGAATAGACGATATAACTCTAGAACCAACCCAAAGAATCTTAAGAATGAAACAAAAACAAAAAAAAAAGAGGTTTCGTTTTATGTTTGTGGACAAAAAATATTTCTTTTTTTCTTCGCCCTTTGCATTGTGAAAGAAAAGAATAAAAAAAATGCTATGATTCAATCCCAAACCCTTTTAAATGTAGCGGATAACAGCGGGGCTCGAAAATTGATGTGTATTCGAATAATAGGAGCTAGCAATCGTCGATATGCTTATATTGGTGACATTATTGTTGCTGTTATCAAAGAAGCTGTACCTAACATGCCTCTACAAAGATCTGAAGTAGTTAGAGCCGTAATCGTGCGTACCTCTAAAGAACTAAAACGTGGCAACGGGATAATAATACGATATGATGATAATGCCGCAGTTGTTATTGATAAAGAAGGAAATCCAAAAGGGACCAGAATTTTTGGTCCAATCCCCCGGGAGTTAAGACAATTAAATTTTACTAAAATCGTTTCATTAGCTCCTGAGGTATTATAAAAAAAATTAAAAAATGGAGTAGAATCTGTCTCACGTATATAACTTTAAGATTAAAATAAAGTAAGATAAACACAATAATCCATAGACAATAAAAAAAACACGTTGAGAGTAGAAAAATTTTTAGCTCCATAATTAGAGTTCATCATGGGTAGGGACACTATTGCTGAGATAATAACTTCTATACGGAATACTCATAGGGATGGAAAAAGAACAGTTCGAATCCCATCCAGTAATATTAACGAAAAGATTGTAAAACTCCTTTTAAAAGAAGGTTTTATTGAAAGTGTGAGAAATCATCGAGAAAACAACAAAAATTTTTTAGTTTTAACTCTGCAACATATAAACACTAAAAAAAGGACCTTTAGCAATATTCTAAATTTAAAACGGATAAGTCGACCCGGTCTACGAATGTATTCTAAGTCTAAAAAAATACCTAAAATTTTAGGCGGGATGGGGGTTGTAATTCTTTCTACTTCACGTGGTATAATGACAGACCGAGAAGCCCGACTGCAAAGAATCGGGGGGGAGATTTTGTTTTATATATGGTAATATTTTCAAGATGCCAATTAGGTAGAAACTTTCCATTTCTATGATTCCCAAATGGGATATTTTAGAATCTAATGAAATCCCCATTCCTTATTGCTTCTAGGTCACTGAAATAAAGAATAAAGTCCTTCGGATGAAAGAACAAAAATCACTTTCCTTTTTTCAAGAATTTTTTTATTAAGGAATCCTTTTCAAATAGTATGTTCTGGTTTTCTTTTTTATTGATTTAGATAATCAACTAATAAAGTAATAAAGATTGGATTATAAGTTCTTTTTGTGAAAATAGGCTAAATTCATTTTTAGTTTAGACGGATAACTTCAGAACAAGTCGATGAAGCTTTTGCAACACAACAATGATTCAAAGGAGTCATTTTTAAACTTAGCTATCTCTTTGGCAAAAATAACAAAATTAGAAATTGAAAATAAAAAAAAAAATGAATGTTTTTATTATAATCTTCCAATCAAACCGAAACTCTAAAGTAAATTTAAAAGAAATGTAAGGAGTCTGAATATGAAAATAAGAGCTTCTGTTCGTAAAATTTGTGACAGATGTCGATTAATAC